GGAATCAATTCCCAGCCTCACTATCCTTTAGCTGAGTGATTTTAAGCATGTTACTTGACCTCACTGCATCTCAGCTGCCTCAATTTCAGAAATGGGGATGATCAAACTAAATTCAAGGGTTTAAGAAAAGACTAGGATGATTAATATATTTAAAACCCTTAGAACAATATTTGCCATGTATCAAATGCTCAGGTTCCTATCAGGAATCAAGGAGACTCTTTGCTTAAGTTTTTTTTACTCTGAATTATGAATTTAGATCATTTCTAAATTAAAAATAAATTTTAATAACTACTTTTTTCCTTCTCATTTCCCCCTTTCTCCTTTTCTTTCCCTTTACTCCTTCTTTCACTATCCTCTCCCTTTTTTCCTCAATTTTGGTTTTGTATCTTAAAATTAATGTTCAAACCAGACCTTTCCTGAAAGAATAAAAGGCAACTACTTTAAGTATATAAAAAAGAAGTAATTTCGAAAGAAGTACAGTCCTGTGATACTTTTCTGAAAAAGGCAACATCTGCAGCTATTTGTCCTTGTATAACCTTGCCTGATAAAAATTGAATACGAATGCTGCCAAGGGATGTGAAACAGCATGTCTGCCCTCTGCCCCCATGAAATGCTAAGTTGTGTCCTTTGAAGGTGTAAGCACATGGGTTATCTAGTTGTTTTGTTTTCTCAAGTAAAGTCCTAGTAGTTAATTAAGTGGTATACTGAGGATCAATTAAATTAGTTAAATTATTCTGTGAATGTGAAATACATCATAGCAAGAAAGAGTGGGAGAAATATATTCAATATTTAGAATAGAATTTTAAAGATAGTAAGGGTCCCATGGAGGAGAAAAAAGACCAAGGGTGGAAACTACCAGAGAAGAAAACATAGGTTGACAGAACGAAGCATTTCTAAAATGCTCGTTCAAAAAAGAATGGAGAGTATCTTGGATTTGAGAGAGGTGTTCAGACATAGGTTAGTGAATCACTAGAGGAAGATGACACATAAAGTTCAACAACACTTAAGTTTATTTTTAGATGACTTGAGATCCTCACAATCTAAGATTCTTTGTTATCTAATATGCATTTGTGAAAGTAAACCATTCAGAATAAACTTCAACCCCCAAATAGCCAAATAATTGAAGCAATTCTGAATTGTGGATGATTTCTTTCTCTTTAGCAATCGAAGTCATTCCTTTATATATATTTTTTCTAATTTCCTTTACACATATGGCTCTGCTTGGATAGGCAAAAGTGATTTACAATTCTAGCCTTTCTAATTTGAAATTCTACAAGTCCAAGAGAATAACCAGATTATGAAAACACTTGATGAATTGTGCAAACCAGTAGTTAAATATTATAGTTTAAAAACTCGAGTCAAAAATATTTCTTTTCCTTCAGGAAGAAATATGAATGTTAAAAATGTGGTGCCTTGCAGAAGCAAAGCTCCATAATTAATCTATACGGCCATATCCACTGTCAGAACAGAAAGGCCCCAGAGGAAATACTTTCCTATAGAATGATGATGGCATTAATGCTAACAGTGATGATAAGAAAGACCCTGGAAAGTTTGCGAACATTTCTTTTGGAATTCTGCTTGGGGTCTAATTGTAAGAACTAATATTTCCTGAGCACTTACTATTGTCCAGTGAATCTTGTGAGTGATTTGCATGAATTTCTTAATCCCCACAATAAAGAAGTCAAGGTCACCTAGTGGGTAAATTGAAGGAGGTTATGAATGGAAGCCATCTGATTGCATTGTACATGTGCGTATCAACCCAAACCACTACCTCCTATAGCCTAACTTAAGGTATGGTTGAAAGAACATCTTCATCTGAGGACCAACCACAATATTTACTATATATTTATGGAATAGTAACTTATTCCCTGGTTAAACTTGAGTTGCCTTGGCAAAACAATATCTGGAATGCTCAGTTCAATTCTGGATTCCAACTTGAAGGATCTGGACCAACTGGAGTATATCCTACACATTTTTTCAGCAAATATTAAATAAAACATATAATCTTTCAACAAAGTCTCAGGTACTAATCTCTTAAAATATTAGGGAAAAACTTTTTTTCTATGTGTCTATGTATAAAGAGTCCTTTAAAATCAATTGAATATATTTAGATCAATGTATTATTTCTACAGAAGAAAGTTCCATGTGTAATCACTTTATTATTATTCTACTTCATAAGAAGGCAGAACCACTGCAGAATTCCTTTTTTTCTTCTTCTTCTTCTTCTCCAATCCTTGAAAGTATCACACATCAAACTTCTCTAGGTTTGGGTAAAGCATTTTCTTATATAACTATAAATGGTTTCTATGGACTTCCTTTTAGTTTGTAGTATAAGGGGAAATGATAAAACACATAAAAATAATAACCAATATGCATATACCTTTACGCAGTTTTAAAAGCACTTTCACATCATATTATCGGTTGGAGGTCTTTGTTTTTCAATCTTAAAACTGTGTAAACACATATACCCTTCTACATTACTATCTGTTCTACTTCACCCACACTCCAACCTTGACCTAAAAAGTCAATGAACTGGAAAAAATAAATCCAGTTTGGAAAAAGAATATAATGTGCCAAGATGTGTTCCTAACTCATCACCCATTTTTCCTGAAAACAATCAATACAGGTAGCCAAAGGCAGACAATTTCATCACCCATGTATTTTCTGAAAGCTGATCATTATAAGCAGAACCTATCTCTCAAAAACAGAGACAGTATGACAGAAACCATATACAAAATTAGCCCAAGAATAAATTGGCTAGCAGGCAAAAATGCCTCCTACCTTTTATTCAGTCTTCTTCTTTTCTCACCCTTCCAATGGAACAATCTCTACTTCTTAAACATCCCCAGACACCCTGGACCTTCATGATTTCACTCTCCATGAGCTGACCGAAATCTACTGTGAACAATTATTTTTTTTATAAACTCATTCTGACAAATGTGCAAGGAATCAACATAGGAAGTATCAAAGCCTTGTAGTCAAATAATATAATTCAGAGGGATGTAGAGATTAATGGAAAAATAATATTTTGGGGAAGCATATGATATGAATCCAAATTCAATATCTTTGAAAATATAAACAAAAGATAGGAGATGGTGAGGACTTACAAATTCTTTTGGGTGATGCTGAAAATGGTAATATTTTTGAAGTGGTGTTTGATACTCAGCCATTCTGGACTGCTATGTAGGAGAAATGATTTGAAGTGACATCAGGAGATGCTAGAAATGCACCCAAATTACAGACACATTTTAGCATAGACCTGCAGGACACTGACTTATAGAATAAAATGAATAGTGCTATACAGTTGCCCAGTGGAAGCCTGCTCGGCATCACTGAGTGGTCAGTGACCATATAAAATCTAGTGCCTGTTATCATCACTACCCTGGATACATGGATGTAGGCTCTCTCATAGAGCTATTCTGTGAAATCACATCACACCAACCTGGGATACCATGATCAGAACACATTCCTGAAATGTACAAGTGCCCACATCTCATATACCACCAGAGTAGTCAAACATGCACTAAGGATATCCTATGCAATATTGTTTAGTAGTTTATGTGGGTAGATAAATGTGTGGCTTATAATCATACAGATCTGGCTTCAAATAAGAGTCTGCCACTCTCTAGCTATATCATACATACTTGTAGAGTCACTTCTCAGAGTGTTACTTCTTCAAGTATAAAATAAAAAGGATGCAGTCTTTGCATGGTCCTTTGGGAAGTTAACTGAGATAATACATGTGCATCACCTGGGGTGTAAGGCCTAGTGGAAGGTTAAAAATGATAGTGATAATGATACTATTTATAATAAAAATATATCACCAAAGTAGGTAACTCAAAAGGTAAGGAAATTTCAAATCACTTCATCTAAGGCCAATATTTATAGCAGTGTAGAGCACAGGCTTGGAAATCAAATATTTTAGATAAATTATTTAAATTTTTTACAACTAAGTTTCCTAGTTGAAAAGTGGGGTCAATAACTACCTATCTCATACATTTGTTGTACTGATCAAATGAATTAACATATGTAAAACTCTTAGAAAGGTGCCTGACACAGAAGCAGCAGTAGAGGTTAGCTATTACTGCTATTGCTATCCTTGCCAACAGTGGAGATCAGAAAAGATAGCAGAAATATGGCGGTGAATTTTTGTGGGAAAGTCACAGCTCTCTAGAAGAATGGGGAGAAGTATGTGCTAGACAGGCCTGAACACTTTGATTCTGGACATTTCCTTTCCTTTCTCCGTTCATTGGTGGCAACATCAGGAATCCAGCTGAGACACCAGTAGTCATGCTTCAAAGGTTGCTTCATTAGGACAGAGCCAGTCTGGCTATCACTGAATCACAACTGGATATTTTCCACTAAGAATCTATGACCAATATCAAATATACAACCTTCGGTTACTTGTTGCTCTGGATAACGTGGTTATAAACAATACCAAGAGTTTGGCAATGAAAATTCTCTGTTAGATTGTTGTCTCATATTTATTTGGAAATGCTTAAGACATAACAAAATCAGTGCTTAAAAGAAGATATGGAATTGGTCTTTCTAAGCTCCGAACATCATTAGCATCACATTGCCATCACTGCCGCCACCACCATCATTATCATTTCACCCACCCTCTTCCTCCTTATTAACATCATCTACCATTTATTGATTAACTATGATGTTTCAGGCATTTTACACATATCATCTCATGAAATTTTGTTCTCAGCATATTTATTGTAAATTCAGAAAGTAATTATCATTATACCCATTTTATATATTAATCAAACAAATGAGACTCAGCAAGAATAAGTATAAGTGCCTGGCAGAAGCTGGTAGAGCTTGGGTTTATGTTCTGAATTTATGATTCTAAAGCTAGTGCTTTTTTCCATGGTGCTGTACTAATATTTTGCTAAAATTTGTGGCACTAGAGTAGAGCTGACACAAATTTAAAATTTTATAGTTACCCTCGCCAACTACACCAGTACTATTCTATGTTTTTTTTTGTTTGTTTGTTTTAAGGCAGAGGTGCTTTGGCCATTTCCACTTCTGAAATTCAAAGCTACACAATGCACAACAACATGTCTAGCCTACATTTTCCATAGATAGCAAGACGCGTTTTGACACAGTAGTAAATCATTAACTGAGGCACTCAATTAACAATGAAATAAAATGAAATGTTTAGTTTAGAATAATGTATCACAGAGGGCCAATTCTGACAGTGACCTTCAAGTAAAACTGTTCAATCTTTTGCTGTAAGACCATTCCATTGTGCTTTGCAATTAATAATTTCACACATGGATATTGATGGCAGAATTCAAACAAGGAATCGGCAGCACCTCAGAATAATCTGTCCCCATGAGGTGAGCAGAGGGGCTGCCTTGATGAGCTCCATCAGCTAGGATAATTATTATGAATAAGAAGGTTTGTAACTTCTTTGTAAAGGGAAAATTACACACAAGTGACACACAAGTCAATTTGTTGGAACATCTGAGATGCCCACAGTAAATGCAAACAGCCAAATACAACATGGATGATTCATTCTATGCTGAAAACACAAACTGAATTTGGAAAGCAGGATAAGGAATTGAAGAATTGCTAAGTATGAAAAGCCAAGAGAATGGCTAAACCCAGAGAGAAGCCAAAAAGACTCACTGCCAATTTTCTAGGAGCAGTCACTGTTCAAATATTTACTTGGGAGTTCCCAAGTATTCTTTTCCCTCTTTTACTAGTTATCTTCCATCTTGCCGACTATTAATAAATCCTTCTCAACACTGCACTGCTAAGAACTCATTTTCTGCAAGTTTAAAACACTGACCTGACCTCAGAGTAGATTTGGATGAAAGCAACCATGTATTTTAATATCCTACACTCCAGAGCACACCAAAAATCATGCCAATGCCATACTTTTGAGTCTATCTTTTAGGGAGAAATGGAACAAAAGAAAAGTACCAACATGTACACAGAATTGTACCTCAAATGATCAAAGAGACACATACCTTAAGATACCCCCAATTTTATTTAATGTAAATCGAATAAGGAAAAACACATTAGAGAAGAATGATTTTGAATGGAAATTCAACATGGATATATTACCTTTAGTTCTTCTATGAGTCAAAGCAAGATTTAAATAAGTTCACTTACCTTAAAGAAAGTTGTAACTGAACATTATATATAGATTATAAATATAATCACTTAAATATTTCTTAGTCCTAGGTTACTTATTGGTTATATACCACTTTTGGGTAAAGACTCACAAGCCAAATAGGAGCGACAGAAGATACTGGGATGTCTCCTTGTGGTATATTAAGTGGAAAAAGTCACTATATGCTGACAGAGTCCAGTAACCATGTGTTGTAGAAACTGGTTTCACTTACCTAGAAAAACAAAGAAAGGAAAACAAGAAGAGAAAAAAAATTAATAGAATTCTTTAAATTTAAAAAGTTGTGTTTGTTTCTTGTTTCTCTTCCCTTTTCGCACTGTCTGTACTTTTTGGGAAACAGCTTTATCAGTATCTTAGCATGGGTGACATGTTCACCACAGAGAATATGGGTGGCCTATCCTTCCTTGTGAGTGGAGAATAACAAGGTTGATCCTTTTCATACCTTGCTCTGCAGGTGACTCAGGTGCGAGAAATGAGAGAATATAGTAGCTTTTTTCAGAATGGAAAGGCATGGGTCAGTGCTGTTTGGGTTAGGGTCCTGCCTATGTCTTGCAAGAGCCCTCCCAGTCTTGCAGGCTTGCTCTTCCTTGCCTCAGTATCTTTGTACATGACTCCCTTCCTTCAATAACTTCTGCCCCACTCACCCTGACATTCAGTTCTGCTATGCACCCAGTTCTCTCTGGCTGTCTAGTATTTCGTGTTCTGTTTAAAATATCTTCCTTTAAGCAGAGTTTACACACCTTTGAATCCCAAGTTAGGGGCTTCCTCTGTGTGCCTACCTCCCTGTATTTATTGTCAAAACAGTAGTTATGGCACTGCATTCTAGTTAACCGTTCACTTGTCCTCCACCCATTCTAGAATATGAGCTCCCTGAGGGTAGGGTCTGCATCATCTTCCTTGCTCTTTCTGCAGTTTCCAAAGCAGGATCTGGGATATGGCAAATTTCAGTATATTGGTTAATGAATAAATGAAATTATTAATAAGTAAAGGGAACACAGGTCAGAACAAAGAGAAAGACAGAGGGAGCTGACTGCCTAGGATGACTTGAGAAACCTAATGGTATTATCCTGTTTTCTTCATGGTCAGCTTTTCAGGTTAGGAAAATGAACACAAATCAGTATAAAAGATCTGGGCTACAATATTAAGATCTTCAGGGACAAAAGGTGGTACCTGTGCTATGTCCACCTGAAATTCCACAGGAAGGAAAAAACTTTGAGGTAGCTCTACCCAAAAGTGTTCAGATCATATGTCTGTCAATCACTACTTATGTGACTTTGTACAAATTGTCTCACTCTCTAAACCTTACTTTCCTAGTGTGCAACTAGAAATTGTAATATTTGGCTGGTCCACAACACAATCAACAATATCTATAATTTTGAAATAACTGTAGACACATAGGAAATTACAAAATTAGTACATAGAGCCTTGTGAAAGCTTTTCCTGACTACTCCCAATGATGGTATCATACATGATAGCAGTACAGTATCAGAAGCAGGAAATATTACCACTGTTGAGAGAATCAAGTGAGATTATGGGAATAAATATCTTATTAATTGTATTATTTTATTAGGTTAATTATTCTTAATAATTACTTATTATTTCAATATGTTAGGTATTGTGCTGGGCACTTGGGTTACATTTGTGACCAAAATAAGCCTGTCCCATGCCCCCAAGAAATTTATGTATAGTGGTAGAATATAGAAAGATAAGATAATGTTATATAGTAAGTTTAATTTGTATAAAAATATAAAATAGGAATATCTGAGAGCAGAAAAGAGGATGATATGGTCAGATAGGGCTTCCAAAGATAAATTTGTAAGTCTAGACTCAAATATGAATAAATTAGAATTGTTCAGGTAAATAACAAAAGAAAATATATCCAGGTGGAAAGAAGAATATGTATGTTCCAGCCTATTTTAGTTTGAACGATAACAAATTGCCATATTTGTTTTGCAGATTGGTTGAGTAATAGCAATTTCATATGATTCAATCTAATAATTCTGCATGGCTGTAGGAATGTTGTCACGAAGAGATAGACTTAAAAAGTAACAAAAAAAGGCTTGGATAAAATAGGGCCTAGTTGGTCAGGTTAAGAAGTTTGAAATTTATTCTAAGAGCAATTGTGGGCCAGGGATGTTTTTAAACGTGGGAGCATTATAATCAAATTGGCATTTTAGGAAAATTATTCTGGTTTCTTGTAAAGAAATGAATATGATAGAGAAAATGTAGAGATGGAGGCCAGAAGAGCCCCTAGAAGTTGTACCATTATTCCAGGCAAGACATTATGGCAAGTTGAGCTGACACTGTGGACTAGAGGATGCAGAGAAGTGGGCAGCTTGCTTCTATGATAGAACTTACTCACCTTGGAAATAGGCTGCATATAGGTATAAAAGGGAGGCACTAGTAAAGGAGATACCAAGGTTTCTAGCTTAAGCAATACACACATGTACATGCATAAATGTACATGGTGGTACAATTCATGAAATGGGGGTACAAGTGGAGGAGAAGATTCAGGTGATAATGAAAACTCATTGTAAAAGATCTATTAAAATGTAAGCTAGAGACTTTTTTTATACGTGAAATATGTGTAATGCATACACATAGAATTATCAAAAAGATTAGAAAAAAGAAGTGGCCTACTTTTGGAGAGCAATGTCAGTGCATGGCTTCTACACAGCGTATCATAATTGGTTTGTGGTGCCATTTAGTAATGCCAGGACAATTCATTAAAGTAATCAAGAACAAGCAGGTGTTTCTATTAGAGCTTTGTCTAATAAACACACACACACACATTCACACATAACATCCAACCTAGGGTAGAATTAAACTTGCTGAAGTACCCAAAGACTCCATTCCACAACATTATAGTAGAGAGCATTTCTCATTCAAGAATGAATATTAGGCCAATATGAAAATGAAAAACTGCTCAGGAGATTGGTAATTAAATAGACTACCATATTTATTACTTCTCAACAGATCATTTAAATAAATACCAATCAACAGACCCTAGATTCTGCCATTGTTTGCTGACTTCAATGAAATAAGTGATGTCATCAGTCTCAAGGTGCTGGAAATCAATTATACTGTTGTTTTCCATTAAGGTGATTTGTTATCATTGTACTGAGTCCACTCAGTTGATTATGCTCTAGACCTGGGGACACATCTTTAAACTTTATTTTTAAGCTTCCCATAGGGTCGATCATAATGTCTTGTACTTAATAAACACTCAAAAACATTGTTGAATTTTAGGAACTTTATTAGAAATGACACACAGTGAGTTATAAAAAGTGATTTTTTTTCAGCCTAATAGTATTGGTGATGATTACTTTAAAAAGTGCTAGTGTTGGCGAGGTACTTTGTCAGCTTTTCAGGAAAACATCATTTCCTTTAAGTTGACAAAAAGGTAATTTATCAAAGGGAAGTAAGGAGAGAAAGAAGTTGCTTTGAATAAATTCCAAAAAATGCATTTCTTGGAAGTAAGAGAATTATTAGTGTTACTAAGTTATAATATATGCCGAACACAAAATCTTGACATTCACACAACTGTGTTGTTTTAGAAAGTTTCTCTTAAGCATACATTGCCAATCCCCTCTTTTAACTCATAACCAATTGCCAATAAGACAGATTTTGGGGGGGAGAAGGAGTACAGAGAAATCCAGTGCCAGCAATACCATGTTATTATTATTGTTATTAATTTAACTTATTATCAGTAGAGAACCACTTTCCTCCTCACTTGACATGGTAGGTGGTGTTTAGGCCATTTCCATATTAACCCGGTGTGATTTAAAGGACCATGAGATGAAAGTCTCTCCTCTATCTGGCTTGTGGCATTGCAAATGATTTCATATCAGTAGAAATTGAGAAGTTAATATATTGACTCCTAGGCTTGTTCCATCCTCCACCTCACAGCTCACCAAGGTGGCATAACTGACTTGAGGGCTGAAGAAGTGGGGCAGAGGACCCCCACCCTGCACTGCAGTTGATGAACCAACACGCTGGTGCTGGAGGGACTTGGAAAGACAACAGCAGCAGAGTGGCACAGACATAGTGTGTGCTTGGCCTACATTTCACATCATTTTGTAAGATGTGTTTTATATTCTGGTGACGTCCTACAATTCCCCAGATCTCTGGGCAAATTACAATGCTTTTATGAATGAGGTGTAATTAAATATTCAGCACTAAAATTCCTTACCCTTTTTTTCAGAGAAGAACACCTGGGGTGCTCACCAATAGTCTTCACACCAGGAACTTAGAAGGCTCTGACCCAGAAAAAGGTCTTTCAAATATGGATTGGTAAGTGCATCTTATCTGGGCCTATTAAAAGTCCACATAGTGTCTATTAAATAAATACAAACAGTCCACATACTGTCTGGATAAAAACTTGAAAACAAACACAATTGGACTTGGGGAGACTCTGTCTGATGACGGTTCATCTCTCCTACATCTCCTGAGAATGGCCCTGTTCCTGCAGCTTAACTTTGTATATAGCTTTTTATGGTGATAGAAAGGGAAGAACTATCAGAGATTGCCAAGATATCACCATGTGGAGAAAGGCGAAACTTATACAAACTTTTGCAAAAATCTAATGGAGGTGGGATTGATTGGTATTGTGCTGCTTACTCTCAAAGTACAGACAGGAATTCCAGGGCCAGCACACTGTTCTTAAATTTTATAAGCAAATCTTGCAATTTTTTGAGACCATTGCCTCAATTAATCTGGTTGCTTTAGGGAGGCCATGGCTCTTAGGAGTAGGGATACTATCCCTGTTTTAGGAATAATGCCTATAGTATTCAAAATGGTTCTGTAGAGAAGCCTCCATGATCCCATAGACTAAAAGAATACAATTTTGTCTTATGCATTCTATTTGACACTTTTAATGTTTTTCATTTGGAGCAACCAAGGAAGACAGTAACATTTCAAGGCTGAAAGTAAAAGTTAGTTTTTAACTTATGGGATGATGAGAAGACAGTTGTAGTGCAATAATCTCTATGTTATTAGGTAAAGTTCTCTGGTACAAAGAAAATAAACATTTTCCTAATTATTATCTGGATCCTTTATTACATGGCCTCTGGCCCAGTTATATGATGGAAGAGAGGGTATGGGATGAATCCTCACTCAGTTTTCACTCTTTCCTATTATTCAGTGTCCCACCTGACATGTCACTAGGTGTGAACATGCATTGGTTGTAGCAACAAAGACGTCAGCTGATTCAAG